TTTTTCAGATGTATTCTGGGATAAGGTTGGACCACATGGATGGTGGGCCCCCACCCAAGATGTCCTCTTGCTGCTTCCACCCCCACTGTTATTCTGCAGCAGTGCAGAGTTTACCCATAAACTCCACATTCCCTAGGTGGAGGATGGCAGCCAGCAGCTTGCTGATGTCCCAGTTCTCAGAGTCGGAGAATAGCAGGATCTTCATGGCCGAGCGAACATGGGCATAGTCTTTGGCATCATTGAGCCCTTCATGAGACATGCAATTCCCCTACAAGACAAGACATCTCAGCCAAGGGGGCCACCCCAAGACCCACTTCCCCCATCCGGAGGCCTTCAGGGTCAAGATGCCACTAGGACTCAGCAGAGGGCCCCCTATAAATTGTAACCATGTTTGCTGTTAGTGGACCCTGAAGAGCCACATCTAGGCACAAGTTGAGAAAACAGATTAGAATAGCTGGGTATCCAAGGTCCAGGATTTTAATCCTAGCTACTCTGGCGGCTGAGATCTAAGGATCATAGTTTGAAGACAGCCCAGGCAGGGAAGTCTGTAGAGACTCCAATGAACTACCTAAAAGCCAGAAGTGGAGCTGTGGCTCAGGTGGTAGAGCACCAGCCTTGAGAAAAGAAAAAAAAAAAGCTCAGGGTCAGCACCCTTGCACTGAGTTCAAGCCCTAGGATTAGAGCAACAACAACAAAAAGACATATTCCCAGAGACAGAGCCCCAGTCCCATGGTTATGGCATACCAGGGCCTTGTCACCAGTGGAGGTACTTTTCTTCTATGTTCGGGAAACACTGTGGGCTCTCATTCCTTTAATAAATACTCCAAATAAATACTTGCCAAGTCCTGGGTACTTGCTTGGAATTTACAAATGGTAAGCCACAATCCTGCCCAGCTGCTTTGCATCCAGGAGGGACAAGAGGGAAGCAAATGACCCTGTCACAGCTATTACTGGTGCTGAGACTGAAGAGGCCTGGGACAACTCCCTGAGAGGTGGAGAAAGACTTTCTGGAGGAGGTTTCTAAGAGGGCCCCTTCATGAGATCCTCAGAGAAGCATAGCCTGGGGAATGGCTTCAAGGCAGGCCTCAGAGACAGGCTTTGAGGGAAAGTCATGTAAGGAGCTTGAATTTCTACTAATTAATTGTCATCAGAGGGTGACACCTTCAGATTTGTACTATGGGATGGCAGATCGGAGATCAAGACTGGCCGCATGGGAGCTCATGAAAAGACAACTGCTATGTTTCAGGAAAGGGCTGAGGAAGACTTGAGTCAGTGACCTCAAGACAGAGCATCATTCAGAACAGAGATTCCCTCCCTTGTTAGGTGACATAAGTGCATAGTGGCTGTGCCCCCACCCTCTTATAGAAAGGAAGACATACTTGCAAACAAGAGCAAGGCCTTTCTTTCTGGGAGTTGACACTTTAAGGGCAAGGACAGGGGCAGGAGGCTCAGTGGTAGACCATGGCTCTCCATGGCCCACAGCACAAGGAGCCCTTTGCCAAAGGAAAGGTTCACAGGGAATGAGCATGGGCTCTGTTAGACATTCTGTCCAGGACAGGTCTCTGATATTCAGCAAATTGTGTTCAAACAGAAGGAACTGATGTGGAGGAGGAAAACAGGACCCTTGTCCTGTCTCAGCAGTCCAGATAGAACTAGGGCACTTCTGCAGTTGCAAACCATGGCTTAAGTGGACATTGGCCCTTTATCTTCTCTCTGTTCACTAGTTAGGAGCTGGATGAGGGAGGGAGACACACCATGGTCAGGTAGTGATACTCAGAAGGCATTCCCAGGCCCAGCAATGACTTCTCCTCCGCGTTCATCCCCATGAGCATACAGTAGAAGATGTGGTAGTTTCGTTCCTCCGGAGCCTGGGAAGAAAGATATTCACAAAGATAGTAAGCAAGACTGTGGAGGCCATGAGGCTTTGGGTTATCATGGCTTCAGCTCTAAGGTTTCCCACCCAGGTGTGGCTCAGGCTTTAGCACAAGACTGGCTTTTTAATCCTTGATCTGGGCTTGCCACATGTCCTGCGTGTCCTGTTGTGAGTGTGTGTGTGTGTGTGTGTGTGTGTGTGTTCTGGTACGGGGTTTCAGCTCAGGGCTTTGTGCTCTTGTTTAGCATGTTTGCTCAAGGCTGGTGCTCTACCACTTGAGCCACACCTCTACTTCCAGCTTTAACCTGGCTCAAGGATTTTTCTGCCTTGTCTGGCTTTGAACTTCTATCCTCATAATTCAGCCCCCTGAGTGGCTAGGGTTACAGGCGTGAGCCACTCGTACTCATGTGTGTCTGGTAACTTGACTGCACCCCCCAGCACAGAAGTGGTTATGCACAAAGCCACACAAGGCTTTCTGACTGCTCATCCCATGCTCCTTACAACCACCTTGGTGCCCCTCTGGAGAGCTGGTGCGCATGGACTCACATGCACCCTCTGGGCACTGTCCCTTAGCGTTTTTGCTCAAGGATAGTGCTCGCTCTACCACTTGAGCCACAGCTCCATTTTGGCTTTTTGGTGGTTCGTTGGACGTAAGAGTCTCACAGACTTTCCTGCCTCAGCTGGCTTCAAACCATAACCCTTAGATCTCATCTTCCTGAGTAGCTAAGATTACAGACATGAACCACCAGTGCCCAGCTGTCCCTTGGCTTTTTTTTTTTTAAGGTATCTATGGCCATACCACCCTGAACATGCCCAATCTTGTCTGATCTCCAAAGGTAAGCATGGTTGGACCTTGTTAGTACTTCAATGGGAGACCGCCTGGGAATACCAGATGCTGTGGGCTTTTGCCCCACCCTTGGCTTTTTTTGCTCAAGTTTGGCACTTGAGCCATAGCTCTGCTTCTGGCTTTTTGGTGGTTAATTGGAGATAAGAGTCTCATAGACTTTCTTGTCCAGGCTGGCTTCAACCTGCACACCTCAGATCTTGGTTCCCTGAGCAGTTAGGATTAAGGGTATGAGCCACTAGCACCTGGCTTTGTCATTTTAAAACTAGTTATTAATGGATCCCTAACTGTACAAATTCAAACCATCTGAAATGTATAGTGCTATGAGAGTTCTTTCCACCCGGCCTCCCTCCTCCTCAAAATTTCCTCCATTCCCTTCCCAGAAGCTCTTGAAGGTCTGTGTTCCTTCCACATATCTTCAGTGCATTGACTTACAATAATCTAGAAACCATCCTTTTCTTTTGTAAAATGTTGTATTATTATTCAACTTCCTCTGTATTTATTTGTTTCTTGGTGATCCTTGTACACAGGCTTCCTTCTTTTTTTTAGCTACCCAGCATTCCACAGCATAGATATGCAATAATTTGTGTCTGCGTGAACACACATACACACACATACACACTTGTGCACATGGTGCTGGAGACAGGTCCAGGGCTTCACTCATACTTAGCTATGATGTGTAACCACTTATCATGGACAAAGCTGTTTCTAACCTGCTGTAGAAGCTTCTCATTCCATTCTGGGTGCCATTTTAGATGATCAATTCTATGAACTCCACTACCACTGTGTAAGCAGGTCTGCACTAGAGGTGCAGGGCACACACTGCTATCAGAGAGACTGCCACATTTGGCTATGAGATACAGGCCAAATATGTACTGAACGTGTAGACTTCTTGCTCTGTACGGTCCCCCCTCTTGTGTGGCTGTGAAAGTTGAATGGAATGGTGCAGGGGGGTGCTGTGAGGAGGAGGACTCGCTAAGTGTGAATTTCCTCCTAGGGCTTTCCACAGTGCCCAATGTCCACCTGTCTTCACACTCAGCCCTGTCCCCGCTGCTGGGTTTCCTGCTCTGGATTGCTGTGTCCCTGCACGTGCGCTCACGCACTCGCCTGTGTTAGGGGTGGCACCATTTTACAAAAGCCCCCACCCCACGGTCAGGCCTGCCCCAGCTCTGCTGCCTGGGCGCCACACACAGGACGTGGCAGGAAAGACATCT